CTAACTTCGATGCCTCTGCGGTTGACCACGTGTCCCAAAAACTGACCGGAACTCACATCGAACGAGCACTTGGTTGGATTGAGCCTTATCCCATATCGCCTCACCACATCAAATATATCTTGCAGATGTTTCAGATGATCATTCTTCTTCCTACTCTTTACCACCATATCATCAATATAGGCTTCCACAATCTTTCCTATTTGATCCTTGAAAATTTTGCTAACAAGTCTTTGATAAGTTGCTCCCGCGTTCTTTAGTCCGAAAGGCATAACTTTGTAGCAGTATGTCCCTCGCTCGGTTACAAAAGAAGTTTTTTCTTCATCTGCCGGGTCCATAGGGATCTGATTATAACCTGAATAAGCGTCCAGAAAGGTTAAGCGTTCATACCCGGTGGTAGCATCCACCATTTGATTAATCTTTGGCAGCGGGAAGCTATCCTTCGGACAGGCTTTGTTCAAATTGGTGAAATCAATGCATACTCGCCATTTCCCATTCTTCTTCTGCACGACAACGACGTTGGACAACCAATCAGGGTAGTGTACTTCTCTGATAAATCCTGCATCAAACAGCCTATCAACTTCCTCGGCTATGATTTGGTTGCGTTCTGGAGCAAATCTTCGTTGCTTCTGTTTTACTGGTTTGAAATTGGGATTGACATTCAAAGAATGACAGGATACGGAGGGATTAATTCCAAGCATGTCTAGGTGACTCCATGCAAATACATCGGCATTGTGAGACAAGAAGTCAGCTAGCTCTTGCCGCTCTTCCCTAGTCAGTCTTATTCCTACTCTGGTAGTTCGTTCTGGCCTGAACTGATCGATCTGCACATCCAGAAGGGTCTCTTCGGTCAAGTCAACTGACCCCTCCACCCTGTTCTGCTTGGGCGGAGGTTCCTGTAATTGCTATCTGGGGCTTGCCGGTTGGACGGGCGCATTCCCTTTCCCAGCATACTTTAGTGTGACGGAATAGCACTCTTTGGCTGCAACCTGATCCCCACGAATGTCTATTACCTTATTTCCATCGGGTCCGAGGCATCTCATGACCTGATGCAAAGTTGAGGGTACTCCTTGGACTCTGTGAATCCATCCTCTTCCCATCAGGAGATTGTACGAGGGGTGAATCTCTACAACCACAAAAGTTTCCATAAGAGCTCGTTCTGCAGCTTGAACTTCTACTTCCACCATTCCGACGGGCTCCACCCTCTTGCCATCGAATCCTAACAAGGGATTTCCAGTGGGCTTGAGCCTCTCTGGTTTAATCTCGAGCCGATCAAATGTGTCCCTCGGCATGACATTCGCACTGCTCCCGGGATCGATCAGAACTCTGCGCACCAAGCAGTCCGCCACTGTCAAACTGACTACCAACGGGTCTTCATGGGGGATTTGAACACGCTGCAGGTCTGTCCTGTCGAACTTTATCTGTATCGATGTGATCTGCTGGTGTAGAGTATTCACACTGCTGACCCTTTTCTTCATCTGCGTCTGCCGTAGGCGCGCTCGGAGCAGCTCATCTGAATCTTCGCTGGGCTCGGGTCAACCGTGGATAGCATTGATTATACGAACTGGTTGTGAATTGTGGGAGCTTTGTTTATGGCTCCTTTTTACTTGTTCTATCGGTCGATTCTGCTCTGTCGCCGAGCCTTGAACATAACTCGCGAACTCCCCTCTAGCTATCAACATCTTCACTTGCCTTCTCAAATTCCTGCATTCATTAGTCTGATGACCGAAATCGGAATGGAAAGCACAATGTTTAGTCTGATCCCTCTGTTCGAGGGGTTGCCTAATTGGCAGTGGTGGATGAAACTTATCTTTGTTCTCCTGATATAGCCTCGCCAGAGTGACCTTCAGCGGAGTGATCAGCTCTTCCTCCCTGGACCTCTTTTCTGCCTTCCAGGAGGTCTGACGCTGCGGCTGAGCCTGCTTCTGCCTGATCTTTGCCTTGGACTTTTCCTCGGTCGACACGAGCGACGCTGTCCGAGCATTGGCTGCCTCCTCTTCTTCTAGGCGCACAAAGCCGTCGGCTCTTTCATTGAGTTCATCCATAGTCGTCGGCGTGTTCACTACCAGACTGGTATGGAAGGGAGTGCCACGTGTCATGGCTAACTTGAAGGCTTGAACCGCTGTAGAAGGGTGGCATTCGATCACCATACTCTTAGTGAGATTAAACCTGGTGAGAAAAGCCTGGAGACGCTCATCTTTGTGCTGTCTCATTGTGAATAGGCTTGAGATGTCCTTTGGCGGACGCTTGTTCCCATAGTACTGACTTATGAACCGATCGCACAAATCTCGGAAGCTACCAATGGAGCTCTTAGGCAAGTTCTTGAACCAGTTGAGCACCGGTCCAGCTAGGCTTGTAGGGAAACATTTGCACATTAAAGCGTCGTTTTCCGTATTCAGGGCCATCTTCAACTGGATATGGTACACATGATCGATCGGATCGGTTTTTCCGTCAAACAGAATAAATACTAGCATAGCAAACTTCCTTGGATGCGGGGCATTCAGGATCTCGTCAGTGAATGGTGAATCAACCGTTCGAGCTGCGAATCGGAGCGCTTCATTCTCTCTTTGGCGCCCAGTGGTAGCTCTGTGGGCTACGGTTCTGCTCTCCGAACCGCGATGAGTGATTGTAGCCATGGAGGGCCGGTAGGACGGATCGAACGGCCGTTCCTCTATGAGCTCTCTTTGCCAAGGCGACGCAACTTGGCGGCGATCAACCTCTATCACCTCCTCTCGGTTAAACCTTTCCCGATGCGGATCTAAGGTCATGGCTTCGTTCTGTCTGATCTGCTCATGTCGCGGATCAACGTGAGTCGATCCTTCGTGATCCTCAACTCGACGAGCATTTGGCGGCAAATCATCCATCCTTCTTTCATCACGGTGGAGAGCTGACTGACTGTTCTCGTCCTACTCGCCTTGATGCGCGATATTAGATTGAACACCTCCTTCTCCGGCCGGAGGTGGACGCGAAACCGCGGGCATTTGCTGATGTTGCATTCCAGCTTTCAATTCTGCATTCTCTTTTTTGAGAGCCTCGATCAAGTTCATCAACTCCTCAAGCTTTGTTTGCTGGACAGCCTCCATCGGATTGGAGCTTTCACCTATCATTATTCCTGAACGGAGTAAAGGCATTAATCTCAAGTTCGCGAGTAGATCCGAGCTTCGTGAGTGGGAATTTTTCAGATCTGGTTTCGAATTCTCCGAATTATGCTCACGGTTGACGAGATCTGAATTGTCCGAATTCTAAATCCGTCAGATCCTGCCACAATCGAACAACTCGTTGTTGCGTAGATCTGAAGCCACTTCTGCCAAAGCTACAGGAACTAAAATTCCTCCAGAGTAGGTCACAATCGCTCAGATCTGGATCCAACTCCCAAAGATCGAGTCTCGATCACCCGAATTGGTCTGAATCCACGCGATATTAATCATTGATCAACCAATCTTCCATGCTTTCCCACAGACGGCGCCAATTGAAGATACAAGAAATTCCTTCCCTCTTTCTCTCTCTAGAATTCTTGGATTTCAACCAAAAAATATCTCCCCTTTCTTTCCATTACTTCTCCTATTTATAGATATTTACAAATGTTGATGGACTGCTGGATCTAGGCCCGTTCCTCCATGAGTCCTGGTCATCTTTGATGGGCTTATTCGCGTTCGGCTCATATGGCAGTGTCTTTCTATGGGCCTGACCCATCTGTACGGACCGAATGTCGCGTTTGCAAGTCATATCCGGCCCATGTCATCTCGGGCCTCCTCAGAATGAAAATGTATTCCACAACTAAATATATCGAATGACCATTCCATTCTTAAATAATTTTTTTAAAAAAATTAAGTTCCCAAAAAACATCATGCTCCAAGTCCAAAAATCATCACCACCACCTTCCACCACAACCATTGCTGACTTTTACCATCACCAGGGACGGACCAAAAAAAGTATGTGGGGGTGATTTTAAAAAAAAAAAATGTTGTGGGGGCAATAATGAAGGTTTTTATCTAATTTTAGTGGGACAAATTTAAAATTTTGTACGTATTTAATTTAAATAAGTAAAATTACTAGGTAAAAAAAGCAAAAGGAACAATTTCAGTGGGGCAAAATTACTAGGTAAAAAAGCAAAAGGAACAATTTCAGTGGGGCCCCCACTGAGCCCTTCACAGATCCATCCCTAACCATCACCACCACCTCCATTGTCTTCCACCACTGGCGCTGCCACCGCCACTATTGTTGCCACCTTCAACCACCACACCGCCACCACCACTTCCTTTGCCTTTAGCCACCACCACCTCCACCGTAACCACCACCAACTTCCACCACCAACTTCCACCACCACCATCTACTTCCACCACTACCACCTTTCAACCACTGTCACTGCCATTACCCCTGCCTTCTACTACCACCTTTCAACCACTGTCACTGCCATTACCCCTGCCTTCTACTAACACCCTGCTGCCTTCTGCCACCACTACCATCACCTTCCAACACCACCACCTACACCATTACCGTTTTCCAACTCCACCACCATCAACCATGCCAGCCATTTCTTTTTAAAAAATTATACAATGTCATTTTGTCAATTTAAATTATTTGTCCCTAACAAGGGTATTTTGGAGATTTTAATTTGAAATTCATTCTTTTCTAAATTTTACATTTGTACATTCCTACAAATTTCATATTTACAACCAAACAATAGAAAGAGAATGACAGTTTGTGAAATTGTTTGGGAATAAAGGAATGGAAAAATAAATGGCAAGTAAAATAAAAATCTTATTTTTCCTCATTTTTTTTTAATAATTTCTTCTTTTCCCCTAATTTCTACTGTAACCAAAAAATAAAAATAAAAATAAAAAATCATTTGCATTTGCATTGTCTTCGTCCTCCCCCCCCCCCCCCCCCCCCCCCCGGCGCCGAAAATATGCAAAACATGGAAAGCTTATGAGGATTTAACCTTTACAAAATGATCTGTCAGTGGGCTCATGAGAATTTCAGAAACACTATATATATATATATATCTCCAAGCTGAATTGCCAAGCTTTATTGCAAGAATGAATCAAACTTACAAAGAACTTAAGGTACATATATCAAACTATACAATCTTAAATGGATTGAAAACAACTTCAAGTAATATTTCAATAATGTAATAGAAAACTGCAGGATGGCAGTGAAAAGAGGTCCATTTATAGCACCAATGCTTAAGAGAAGAAAGATGGAAAAGGGTACAATAACAAAGTGAGAACTAAAGGGGAAAATAGAAAAACACCAAGTCCACAGACATTTTCCCGCGCCTCATTTCTTCTCTTTTTCCCCTGTTATTTTTGTTTTTCAGTATTCATCCAAGTAAGTATATAGCATGTCGTCTTTCTTTGACTTGCGCCGGCTGAGCAAGGCCTTGAGAAGACGCTTACTCTTACTGGGGTATTGTTCAATATCTTTAGAGTTTTCCTTGTCGGCATGGAGACGCATTGAAGCTGATTTCCGAGGTTCTGAAGGATACTGGCAAAAATAAACAACATTCAATTTCAAGCGTTAAGAAAAAGAGAAACTTCTGTATTAACGAAAAAATACCAATAATATTTAAAGATGAGTAGAATGTTAATTTATTGACAGATTAAATGGTCAACTTTTACTCTACTAAAAGCATTTATAAAAAAATCAACATTGGAACCCGGTGCTTACCCGTTGTCTTCCAGCAGAAGTGTTTGGAGTGGTTGGCCGACTAGAATTTGGGGTGCCTAGCCTAGAATTTGGGGTAGTTGGCCTACTGGAGAGAGATCCAGAACGTAAAAGTGGAAATCGATGTGGAGACACTGTTCGTTTCTCTGCGTCATGCATTATCAATGGAACATCAGTGAGAATAAATTTAAGTGAGAACATCTAAAAATAGAAAGAAAATATATATATATATATATAAATGTTATCTAGATTTAAGGAATCACATAGTTTAACAAGCATAATTCTTATGTACGAACCGAGTTCCTTCTTTGGTGTGGTGCGCGTGAATGAAAAAGTTGCAGATCGTTGTGCAGTTCGTAGAGAAGGCGATGGGGAACGCCCTTTTCTGCATGGCATGTAATAATGAATTAATGATCCTGATAATGTAGATAAGTTTATAAAGGTACCAATACAATGCACTACAAAGTATAACAGCGAAATTCACCTGAACGAGGATGATGGGGTTTCTCTTATTGTAGCACGAACAGCTATGGAAAAACAACCAAGCTTATAATTATGAACAAATTACACCAAATCCAAGCGCAATGCAACAGAAACAACACAAAATAGGAGATAAGAGAAGCAGCATGCTACCATTCCTAAATTGATGCCACTCATCTTCGTCATCCAGGCTGCAACCTTGATATTTTGATTTAGTGCGGTTGGCACCATGCATGGTCTCCCCAACTGCATGAAATCTGAAAACATTCAAACATCTCTAGCTCCGAAGCCCAAAATAAGAAATTAATAAGAAAAAGGAAAAAAAAATTGTTCAATGAGAAATTTATGGAAAATGAAGAGAATAAGTGGTAATTGCCTGGCAAGATATATCGCTTATGGTATTTGGGAGTATTTATCACCAATGCCTGCTGTGAAAGGCCCTCTCGATCAATATACTCTTGGCACGCCCGTAGCCTCTATTATACCATATCAAAGAAATGAAGAGGGTCAATACTCTTCATAAATCTTGATTGCTAAAAAGCAGAGTTGTAGACACGGATGGTACTCAGATTCAATGTAATCACCAAGAACCAATATGCTTGAAGATATTGGCATGCTCAGTCTACAAGATACCACACATCAAAGGAATGAAGAGGGCTAATACTCTGTATAAATGTTGATTCCTTCCCTTGAGAACAAAAAGCATAGTTGTTGACACAGCTGGTATTTTAATTCAATGGAATCATCAATAACCAATATAATTTAATAAAACTATTTAGGTGGAAAGAAGAAGCTGGTCTTTCAACAAGTGTTACATGCATACATGCAGCTCAGTGTCGCAGGAGTTTTCAGGTAAGAGATTGACTAATCATTACTCTGCATCTCAAGTCTCATAATCACCTTGGTTACTCGAAATATTACAATGTGCAGGTAGGAGAATATCAAGAGTCCCTGAATCAAAAGAGGGTACTATGCTATGTTGAAATTGACATCTATTCCATGTGATCGTTCATGTACCAGGTGCGCTTGCATCTCAAATCTCTCTCGACTGTTTTTGACCACCAAACAGTCGCACTAGCTTGTTTAAAACCATGTAAACCTTTTGTGGTTTGCTCGTGATTTATCCTTGCTTATTTATTATGTAGTTAGTGTGCTATCTTCTGTAACATTATGTTTTCCAAGACATTTAAGTCAATATTCAGTAAGCCCACTTATGTTTTCTGATTTTCAAGTAAGAAAATATGAGGGAATGTGGTTGCAATTGTTCACGCAGTTGTTTACTAAAGAATCCCTAAAGAAGAAGATTCTTCGTTGCTAAATTAGAACTAGTATTAAACAGCACCCACAAGTTAAATTCATTAACATTGTTTGGGAACTTTCAGCTATCCTATCTGACGTGATCAAGCAAATCTTGTGAGACATCATCTTTTAAAGATGAAAATTATCATTCACCAATTTTTTTTAGCTGAAGTACAGGGTAGGAGAAATAAGCAAGTCATGTCATCTTTCACTGTTCAACCATGAGCATCAATAAATCCTCTACTACAGCACTAAAGTTAACAAATTCCAAGACCAACTATCCTTTTCATTTCAAGATTTATCTTCCCAGTGTTCAACTTTTACAATTGGTAAGCATGTCTAAGATTTCAAAGTAAACAATTAGGATTTCTAGCTTAATAAGGATCATAACCTTCCCAGCAATTTCTCAATTAAACAAAGCACTGTCCCATTAGGGGACAAATACATGAATCTTTCACTGTTTTATTCTGTTTAAACCATTACTGTAGTTAAACCACAATTTACGTCGTCTTTCTTTACTATCTCAACCAGCATAACTTTGGTCTTCTCCTTCTTCAAATCTCCATAATGAATTTGCCTAAGTGACAATTCTTTATAAAAACAGCTAAAAGGCCTTAAAATGATACATTAAGCAATAAACAAACCAAGAGTACCTGTTCAATGCAAGATACACGAAGCTCTGTTCCAGAAACTTCATCAACCTTTTCATCCAAGAGATCATTAACCTTATATGTGACAGAGCCCAAATGGTCCACAGTATTCACAAGAGCTTTAATGGCATAATCTTTCAATGTATCCACCACTCTGTACACACGGGATTATTTGAGGGAAAATTTTAGAAAACAAAAACTGGGATGGAACAAGAAACAACTGCAATTTCTTTTCTTCTTTTTTTTATAAGTAAACAGGAAACAACTACAATATTCAAACGAATAAAGCCTCATCCCAAATAGAAAACACTCATAGCCACATATTTAAATACCAAGTGTTCTAATGAATTAGAGTAACTCACATATGTTTTTGGTCATCATTGGTGTAGGATAATTCAAAATATTCAGCTGCCGAGTACAGCTGTGTTCTCAGATTCTTCAAATCCTGGAGAAATGAAATACAATAATAAGATAAAATTTAAGACCATCTTTTAGAAATCTCAACTGTAATTTTTTCTTTTTTAATGTTTCATGCACTCAAAAAAAAAAAAGGTTGAATTACTAACAAACTAGAAGGGCTCATGCTACATACAAGAGTAGTTGAGAGTTGAGAGAGATAGGAACAATGAGTAAATGAGGAAGATGAAAGTGAAACTGTCACAACCACTTGAAAGAAACGGCTTTCGATTCTATTTTAAAAAGGGGATTAGCTTCAAAAGTAGAGGCCTTTCTTTGAATTTAGTTTGAATGAAGTGATCTGGCCACTAATGAGTTTTTCTTATTCAGATGGTACGGATTCAGATAAAAAAGGTTGTTATATCTGCAATTATAGCCAATGGTAATACTTTACCATCTTCATGAAGAATCAGTTGTCCCAAAGACAACAGTTCAAATTCTTATTTTCTGAGTTTTAATATTATCACGGTAAAGATAGACACTGATACTTGATGTGCCTTAAGACTGTAGTAGCATTCTTAAATTCAAAAGAAATTAAATATAAGAGTTATCAATTTGCAAGAGTTTATATAAGGACTAAATTTTGAGCACTAGAGCAAGATAGTAGAGTACCTTGAGACTATCGGAGAAGAGCAAGCTCTGTTTCATTGAGACCTCATCATAATTGGCTGGTTCTCGAGGAATTGGAAATGAAGCAGTTGAAGTTAAGGTCTCCATGAAGGAAAACTATAATTCAGAATTCCTTATCCTGAAATAGTCATTGAGGCCAATATAATATCCAACCAAAAAAACATTAAGAAAAAACAAATCTGAACAAAACAGATTTGTTAATGTATACATAATCCGGAAAAACCAAATTTTATTTTCAATTACTTTACCCAAAAAGAAAACCCATTTCACCAACAACAACCACCATACATATCTGTGTATCTCTGTGTGTGTGTGTGTGTGTGTGTGTGTGTGTGTGTGTGTGTGAGAGAGAGAGAGAGAGAGAGAGAGAATCCGATATAGAATCAAGTAAAAAAGCAGCTATTGAATGTAAGACTAACAAAGAAGTTAAAGAAGAAAGACACAAATAAGAAAATCAAAAGAAAAGAGCCAGTATATTGCTTTCTGCTGATTCAGCAACTATTTGTTTAACATTTCTCGAGAAGAACCCAATTGGAATTCTGAGAAAATTAAAGGAAATGAAAACAAAACAGAACTTTAATCTGACACCCCATAATGTTATGAGTTTAAAAAAATTAAAGCATTATATCGACAATGCCATGATGTTACATATATGTTAGAACCCTAAGAATAAAAAAAATCCAATTTTCTTTTCTAATCCTACATTTGCTCAGCAACCAAACAGAAATATCACGACAACAAGGTAGCGAAGAAACTAACCTGGTACGCCAGTGGCTGAAGCTAAAACCCCAAACTCAATGCCCATTCATATAGGTAAATGAAGAAACACGATTGGTGAAGAAGGACAAAAAGGAACGTGAATAGGCCGTTCCATTGACAGAGACTAATGGTGATGTAGTTTGGTTTGGTAGTGTAAGATTTGACTAAACCAATAAAAGACGACAACTTTAATTTTCAAAACTTGAGTTTTGGGGATTTTTGAGAGGATAGAACGAGAAAGTGCAAACAAGTGTAGAGAGGGAAAAAGAGAAAAGCAACAAGAAGGAGCGCACGTCGGTATGAAGGAGCATCATGTTAAGAAGAGTCTCAGAAGTCTGCCCCTTTTGGAAGCAAAAACCTGTTTGTGGGCGTCCCCACTATACTCTCCACTCCCCTCTCTCTCTCTCTCTCTCTCTCCAACACACATAATTTTATATTTTTAAAAAATTTGAAAAGTTAAAAAATACTGAATCAAAGACTACAAATTTTATAAGAATAGTAAAAATAAAAATAAAAATAAAAAATAAAAAAGTAGAAATCATATATATATATAGCAATCATATTTAATAATGATGATTATGCATGGTGTACATCATTTTCATAAATAAGAGAAGTTATATACCTAATTTAGGTCAATGAACTCCATCTTAACACTTGTTCCTCTTAAATTATTAAATTAAAAAATAATAAAATATATTTTTAATTAATAATTTGAAAAGTTAAAAAATACTGAATCAAAGACTACAAATTTTATAAGAATAGTAAAAATAAAAATAAAAATAAAAAATAAAAAAGTAGAAATCATATATATATATATAGCAATCATATTTAATAATGATGATTATGCATGGTGTACATCATTTTCATAAATAAGAGAAGTTATATACCTAATTTAGGTCAATGAACTCCATCTTAACACGTGTTCCTCTTAAATTATTAAATTAAAAAGTATTAAAATATATTTTTAATTATTAAATTAAAAATAATTAAAAATATATATTATTTTATATTTTTTCTAATTAAAAAAAATATTCACTTTGTAATTGGTTGATGAAATGCATCCTCATTGATCATGACCTAAGTATTGTAGTTTTTTATATTATACGGGTTAAGTAGTACAAGTCTCCAAGAGCACTGTCTGCACCACTTATGTGAATTAATAATAAATAGATACATTTTTTTTAATTATTAAATCAAAAATACTTGAATATATACTCAATTATTAAAACGACAGTGTGTATATATATCATTTCTGATTTGATAATTAAATAAGTCATATTTATTTATTATTAATCCAAATGAACAGTTAAAAATGGTGTAAATTCCTAATGGTGAGACCTAAGTATTATTATTATTAATTTTTTCTATATTTTTTTAATTAGTGAGAGGCTGAGAGCGCTTTGACGGAGTAGTGGTGGTGACTAAAATGTTAGGCCGACGCGCGCATTAAATGTGATATAGACACATACTGTCCCACGCCACACCCTTAAAAGGCACGCGAGACTCCTACTTTTTCACACCCAACCGGCCATTCACAACTTTAGCACCTTGAAGTCTGAAGAGCGTGGTTAATAATGCTCCTATTACAACTATACCATCTTGTCAGGCACTCTCCTAGAAGGATTTTTGTACTATTCCTATATTTTCCTTGTAAACTTTACATCTCAATGATCGTAATTTTCAATCAACTATTCTATCCTTCTTAAATTTTTATCAAGAAGATGATTGTGAATTATCAAAATATTCTTGTCTTTTAATGCATCCACCTGGGACTATCACCCGAACAACTAAAATAATTTTGAATTAATTTTGACTCACCTTTCATAAAATTTATTAATATCTCTCATAAACTCCTTTCATACTTTATAATTTCACTTATTTTGATTTTTATTTTATCAGTCTAACATAATAAAAAATTGTTGACGGGAAAATAAGTGAAATGATGAAAAGATTTAAATGAATGAGATGCTAACAAACCGTACGAAGATATACGAAATTAATACTTCGAGAAGTGTTTATTAGAGGGAGAATTATTAGAGGTTGATCACACGCGCTTGTAAGTAGAGTAGAATTGTGGCATTTCTTAAAGACGTGACCTTGGAGACACTCATGAGTTGGTCGCAATTGGTGGCCATAGAAGGAACCACACATCATTCAACTTTTTATAAAACTCTCTCTCCTTTTGTCTATCTCAATCATATACTGTCATTCACACAGATATTTCTATACATACATAAACTGTCTATCATCCGCAATGGACTCTCAACCAAGATCATGTAGCAAGTCCTAGATATAGATCATCAAATTCAAACCATAAGTTTCAATCACGCAGGACAATCATAACCGTACAGTTAAAGCTTTCTCTCTCGAATCAACAACATTTACAAAAGTTTGTTTGATTGATTGATCATGGGCCATGGTGTGTCATATTCAACGGCGTTGATCTGGAAATCACTATGGACCCCACAATCTATCCGGAATCCTAAGTAGGTTACTTTTTTTCCAAACAATGCTCTGTTTGATGGAATCTGAGTTTGAATCCATAATCTTTAGATGAAAAAAGTCAGCTCAGCACGTCTTTAGTAATCTAATCATCGCCGTGAATGGTGGGTGGGTCCCACTGAGTACCGGAACGATTGATCATTCTTGTCTCGTGCGAACCAAGACCAGCTATGATGATTAACTCCGTTCCAGCTTAGTTTAGGTCAGTTTGGTCACACTTATAGCTTAGCTCGTTCTTCAACGGCCCAGAAATTTAATGGGCAAACGATGGTCCAAACAGTCGTATTCTTGGACCGCCACCCGAAAGCAAAATTGAAGTGTACTATTGTAATTGACTGGGTACTTCACGGTCTCTCATTGTCGGCGGGGCCACTGCCTATTCAAGATGTTCACTCCGAAGCCACTGAGATCGGGTGTTTAGAGCGTGGTATCGAATTAAGGACTAAATGTGATCCAGATATCAATTATAACGGGCTGAATATTTCATAGTCCAACCTAAAAACTTAAATTATTAGATAGTGTTAACACCCAATATACTTATTTCACTTTTCATACGGATTCGATTTAGACATTACTCCCTTATAACCATTATCCTGTATTTGTATGGTATGTGATAAAAGATTGAAAACAAATCTAACATTTAATATGACTAGTCTTAAAATGCAGGTTTTTAAAAATTATAGTGAATTTCAAGTAAGTAATATTAAGAAAATAGAATAACTAAACAAATGATAATTTTTTTTTCGAACAGTATTAGAAATGCAAACTTGAATCTAAATTAGAAATGTGATCTTGAATTCGCATTTTTTGTTTTTGTTGGGAAATCCTATATTGAGATCTTTCCTATATTAAAAAATTACTTTTAAAACACGTAAAACACCCAAATAAACTGTCAAATAATTCAAGATAAAATCACAAATTCAAATTCGTTCGGCAACTTCTTTAGCCTTGGTGCCCTACAGTAACGCTTGTCCATTTATCCAAAAATTCGAGTAGTGCTGCATACTCACCCACTCATTTATATCCGATCACTTTTTCATCCGGATCGGATATGGGACAAATGGCCCCTTGTAACATTCTCCCACACCCGAACTCGCAACGCTCTTGTTGCAGTCTGGCCCCCTACCTATCCGGGTGAGTCACCAGGACGCCTTTCAGGCCGAGCACTTGGCGTGGCATCGGATCAAGGATTAAGTCTGATACCAACTGTAACGGGTAAACACTTTCTCATTTATCCAAAACCTCAAATTATTAGGTAATACTGAATATTCACCCATTTATACTCAATTATTTTCCCATTCAAATCCAATATGAGATAAATAACCCCTCATAGCACCTACCCTCTAGACCACAATAGATAAATTACCACTTCCTTCTTCGGAAAACTTAACTTTGAACTGTTGGGAGCGGGATGTGAGATTCCCGAATTTCATCAATTCAGTGGATGATAGAATTGAACTCTTTTGGGAAGGGGTAATAGGGCACTTATGGGGCTAAGCCATTCTTTTTCTTAAATTATCTACTCAATTTTGTATTTTATTTTATCAAATTTCAAAGTCTTCAGTTTGTTCAAAAATTTTATGAAAATAAAAGTGAACGCATGTAAAAATAAAAAAGGCAAACTTCTGAAATTTGACCTTCTGAAATTTGATCTAATTACAAATAAATTTGAGATTTTTTTTTATTTTATAATGTATTCCCGAGGTTTGCCCAAATTTTCAGAGACCTCTCCTACGTACAAAAAAAAGTACTTTTTGTATATACATATATTATATAGAGAGAGAAAGAATGTAGGGTGGTGGCGTGTGTATTTATGTGTGTGTTTTATTTTATTTTATGGGGGTTTGAAATTTATTTTAATTCTATATGATTAATTGCGGTTCATACCCTTTATTTTCTTGGATATGACTTTAATTACCTATGTGTAATTGGAATGGATTGTTTGAAATTGAAATTGGATTCTTATGAAGTTTCCTCTGTAAAATTACTTGGGGTACTACTTTGTCGCCTTTCATGTCTCTTTCTACTCTCTCTACATATATATATATGATTTTGATCATGAAAAATGAAAACCCATTTCTGATTTTGAAGTTTTTTTGGTGTTTTGTTTCAATTGAAAACCCATTTCTGATTTGTGATTTTGGTGATGAAAGATGATAGCAATCGTGGTGGTGAAGCATGAACATTGATATATATGATTTTGAAATCCATTCCATAAAGACTCCAAATTCTCTCTCTAGATTTATGCACATAATAAGTACACCAGCAACCCATTTCTCTCCCTAGATTTATGCATCTCTGACTGTACTATAATGGAAGCTTCGTTCATCCCAAAGACTCCCTCGGACCACATACTAAATAGAACCGCGCCACTGTTGGGGATAATATTAATTTCCTTCAATTTTAATATCCCGATATTTTAAAAAATTTATTAATTAAAATTAATTATTTTTATTTTATTTTTAAATTATTTATTTTATTTAATTGAGTGTTTAGATTAATTATCTTATTTTAATTAGATTATATTTCGTGATTATATTTGTTGAATTGATATGGTGTCTTGTTTTGTGAAATATTATGATTGAATTGTTTATTTAATTTGTGTATATTTATACTTGTATGAATTGTTTGTTAATTATTTATAATTATTAGATTTAATTTAATAATTTTAATTATTTTATATTAATTGGATTAGGTTTAAGAGGATTGGGACCTATATATGTGGTCTTAGGCTTGAAGGAAACCTTGTTGGGTTAATTAATAAGGACCCATGGTTATAAAGATATTTAAATAATTATCTTTATATAATTATATATATATATATAATTATATGTATATAAATATAATTAATTAATA